TTGTGTGTGTGTGTGTGTGTGTGTGTGTGTGTGTGTGTGTGTGTGTGTGTGTGTGTGTGTGTGTGTGTGTGTGTGTACGTGTGTACGTGTGTATATGTATATATATATATATATATATATGTATGTATATGTATGTATATGCATGTGCATAAATTACATCCTGGTGATTGAAGGATATTAATGTTTCATAGTATTTTAATGTTAAAATACATGGTATTTTAAACAAAAAAAAAGTCAAATTAATTTTTATTTTTTTTCTAGGAAGAATAAAATAAGTCGTTTGTGAAAAATAATAAATATGTATATATATGTATACATATGCATACATGTGTATATTGTAAAGAAAAAAGAATAAAAAACAATATATTAAAGAATAGAAAACGATTTATTAAAATAAATGCTTCTTTCCAAAAAAATAAATTGTATTTAAATTTGTCAAACGATTAATTATTTAGATTTATATTACTACATGTTTTCTCACATCAGTATGAATAAATAAAATCAAAGATGTGATTATCTTAATTTTTAATAAAATAAAGATTATAACGTCAGCGTAAATGATCAAGTGGCAATATTGATTATTTTTTGAATGTTTGTCACTAATTAATTTAAAAATAAAATTTATTATAATATAAGAAATTGTCGAGCGAATTATAATTTTCCAATGATGTATGATTGTGAAATATGGGATGCTAAGCTTGCAAATTCAAGTGGTTTATTTTTTATTATTAGTTTAGTTCCTGTTGTCTGTTGCGAAAATATGAAATAATAATGTTATTGTATTATTATGCGAATATCTTATGCATACATTTCTCTTCAGAAGATACGGTATGTGAATGTGCGTATGAATAAAGCACATGAGTGTGTTTAGATCAAAAACGGACACCAGCGATGATGAAATCTAATCTCACTACACAGTTAATTGTGACTCATCTCTGTAACTGTTACCATTTCCCTCTTATCTATGTTATAATCAGTCCTTGTTTTGCACGCCCCGATAATTCAATAATACCAGTAATCGAGACGACGCCTCGATTTAATAATATTTAATGACTAATTTAGTAATGATTGCTGCATTAATACAAATAAAAGGAGCAAGAAAATTACGATAAGAATAATTCACGATTGCAGCATTAACAATGAAATAGTATGATTCACGTGCACGTGCACGTGAAGTATGCGTTTCGATCGAAGATTGAAGTAAATTATCCAGTTGAAGAGATACGTGAAAGAAGATAAAGCAAATAAATTATACTTCTGTCAGCCATAAACTAATCGATCGCGAAGAGGAGTACGAAGCGACTCCTCCATGGGAGGTTCCTCTCCTTTGCGATCCCTCGCGATCTTTCTCTCATTGAGATACACGTCAATTTTAACAAAACATTTTAAATTGATCATATGCAATAATGAGACGATTCATCATTCCTGTCGATAAATTCAATTCCACGTAGTCTCTTTAACTATCATGCGAACAATGAGAAAATTGCCGCATGTTTCTGATAGCTAATCGAAATCTGCTTGCAAGATATCTGGAATCCACGTATCTGTGGAACAGAAATTATGAGTAGTTTTAAAGAAAAGAAGATAATTCTAAAGAGCAAAGATTACGAATACGAGTGTTCTAACTTGTGAAATAACGTTTTGAAAATACGAATTTAACGCAATTTGGAAATCTCATCTTCTCGCTAATATTTTTAATTGTAAAATTTCTTCTTTTATTATAAAATTAATCAAATTTAATTCTCTCTCTCTCTCTCTCTTAATTACTTCTCTCTCTCTCTCTCTCTCTCTCTCTCTCTCTCTCTCTATCTATCTCTCTATCTCTCGTTTCCAACATGATCGGTCGTCATTTTCGTAATACAACCACGCGTCGCGCGCGTATTACGCACAAGTCTCTATCGTTCTTGGCCTCTCTTTCTCTCTCTTTCTCTTGCTCTCCGTCTCCCACCAGATTTGATGATTTCAGCTCCACGCATACTTGGACTTTCCGTCAGATCGGCGCCGAGTATCATCATCAGTTGCGCGATATACACCGCCGGACAGTCCGAAACTACGATCAACTACTGCCTTTCATGCCGCCTCGTACACCGCGATTCGCGAGGCTTTTCATATTCATTGCGGTCGCTTTAGACTAGGGATCGCGCGTCGGATGGTATTTTCAACCGCGAGTTCTTCCTGATATTCTCACGAGTGTATTCTTGGCGAGAACACGCGTCCCTCGCGTTCGCCTCGCGGAGCGCCACGAATAAACAGGAAGACGAGTGAGAAGCCGCAGAGAAGCATGGCGAGAATCGCGATGTAAAGGCACGCGATGAGAGAACCGGGAGAACGGTCAGACGTGAGACTCTTCAAATTGGCATCTTGACATTCCTTGAAATTGGATCGAAGAAGAAGTGAGCGGACCCGTGTGATCCCACTCGTTTGTAGCTAGAAGAATTTTTGGAGTAATTCGAACAATTGACCCGAGAGTTCACCGAAGAATTTATTTCGAAGCTTCAACCTGATGTGAACGATTCGATGACGGTAAATAGCTTCACTTGTTGGAGCGAAGCTGACAATTAACGCGGTCAACTAGCTTTAGCTCTTAATTAGAATCCCTCGCGATTTATTCCTGGATTCATTAGTACGAACGCCAGTCTTACAAAAAGACATTCCTCGGGTCGGCAAAAAGTCTCAAGGACGAAAAGCGAAAGTGTACGGATTCACCGACTAGACTTTCGGCAGCGATAGAACGCGCATTCTAAATGCGAAAGATTGTCTTGTCGATCTTATTCGTCTTACATCTTTTTATTTTATTTTAAATAAAAATATTTCGACGACTAATGCGAGCCTTTGTAGAGCCTGAAAAAAATATGTCATTTCTTGTACTACATAATTTTATTTCACACGCACCGTGTCTCGTTGACGCAGACGTGTCTGTTTTTAAAAAAAGATTATGTTTTGAAATCGTTTGAAACGTATTTGGATATTAGATATCATGTGGATATTTGATATGTGTATCTTTGGAACGTTATTTTTCTGGACGTCCTTTCTAAATGTCTACGACATACATTTAGAGGCATTAAAGGCATTTTCTCGATTAAAAGTTCTCTCAATTTTGAAGGAAAATAACTTTTGGAGGTACAAAACCGCGTTAAATTAAACGGATGGCAATTTAATGTTAATTACATACGTGACGTTTGGAACACTGGCGTTTCCGACCGCACGTATGTTGATTCAGCAAAATATAACTCGATGATAGCTGTATCGTAGCAAAGAGCGATTATTGTACGGCTGTTCTCCATGCGATAACGGTAACCGCATCAATAAATAAATCATGAGAATGTGGTGAACGTTAATTGAAAAATCATTCTTCGGGAAATTATGTTAAAAAGATGCTTCTGTTCGAAGGCAGAACGAAGGTGGTCGACCATGGATCTTCGTACGTCCTGTTGGCTCATTTTCCTTCTCATAGCTTTCGTAGACAGCTACGAATCCGTCAGTACCACTAACAAATGTAAGTAAGAGATAAGAATCGCAATAATATCACGAAACTATTATTTTATTATCATTATCAGCGAGTTTATAAAAGTATATAGTGGAAATAAGTTTTTCGAAATATTGTCCAAGTAAATAATTTATCAAAATTATTAATAATGGAAAAGCTTGTTTCACAAGAGGAAAAGATGATTCTTCAGTATTAAACTGTAATTACGACACGCATCGTTTCAGCATAAAAGGAAGTTGTAAGGTGTGTGCGTGTATATGTATATGCGCGTATATGTCGCGGTTAAGGTGATAATAGTTTTACATTTTCCGCATGTCTGTTACAATTCCGGACAATTCTCTGAAGTATTTCTCCCAAAAAGTTTTCATAGAATATAATATAAAATACAAGCAAATTTATATATATTTCTGACTAATATTATCATAATACAGTATTAATAAATTATAATAAATTGTCCGTTACGCGTTTTCACGAACGTTGATGAATTTATTTTCGAAAGTGTAAAAGATAAATAACGTATAATAAGTATAATATGAAAAATATGCAATACACCGAGAAAGCAATAAAATCAATAATATTACCTATTTACATTATCATATTATTTTAGGGACACTATGCTTAGCCGACAGCGTACATACAACCCAAAAAATTCTTTCGCTCTGTCCGAAACTGGCTAAGAGTCCAATAGAATGTGTCATAGAAGCTGATAGGCGAGTATCATCATAATGGAATAAAAAAGAAAACTTTTTTATTTTAATGTCTAAAAAATTTCTTCTTTTTTCAAAAAGCCATATCTCGGTTCTTCGTTTCTATCAAAATTAATTAATATTTAATTTATAAAATTAATAATTTTGTTTCCAAACATTTTCTGACTAAAAAATTATGCACCGCGTAGAATACAATAGTAATACATGTTATATAATACTATCGAGTCATTCAAATGACAATTTCCCGTTCTAAAAAGGTTTATTCAGAGATATGGTTTTTTCGAAATCACAAATTAATAAATTTTTCTGAATGAATATTTACAATTCAATATTTACATTCAAGTATATGGAAAATATATGTTTCATGAGAAATAATTAATTTAGATTTGGCTGTTTACGTCGAGTGGTCAGTGGTGACGTTGATATCACTGTATTGGAGCCAGAAGAACTCGTGGCGATAAGAAATTATAAATTATACAATGTACTAGTCACAAATGAATTGAGACTCTTCCAAGACGGTAATTAAGATAAATGATACGAAAAGAGTATATAAAATATTTTATCAAATTAAATTTTATTTTTGACCGAGTTCAAATTCTTTGATGGAAGTATCAATTTTTTTTCTATTAAAAATTCTGAATTGAAGATTCTGTTAAAATTTATTCATAATTAATTAAAAAATATGATTCTGACATCTATCTTTTCACTTGAAAATTAATAACTAATTTAGTAATATGCAAATTACTATCTAAAAATTATTGATCTCGAATTCTTTCAATGAAAATTGAAATCGACATCTACTTGATGCCAAAAACAAATCTTAATCTAAAATTGCGACTATCTTAAATCTTAAACGAAACCCTGATACGGTTTTTTTTCTTTTTCCTTTAGACGACCATCGTTTCGAAGTAGTGGCCATTGCAAACAAAAATGTACGACGCATATGGGACGTTAAAGGCAAGCGATTGTGTCATCCTGGTTTAGATACCGTCGACGATTGGACTAAGGTTTTCTCGACTGTTAGTGGTTTTATTTCTTTTTTATACCGGAGCGTGCTCGTTAAAATTGTGCTCATCTGTCTCTCTCTTCCGTATTTCAGTACTTCGAGAACTTGATAATTAAGAAAGAATGCGACGCCAATATGACACTGTTCGAGAACAGAATACACGCCTTGTCCAACTACTTCGAAATGGCTTGCATCGCTGGCCCCTGGACGGCCGACACAATATTTGATTATCAATTAAGTACGCATGTTCATTATCGATTGCAATACGAATGTAAACATCGTGTCTGTATTCGTGCATGTTCGAACGTTCAAGATTTCGATAATCGCGATTTGTATCGTATTTTATCCATAAAATTTTTCTTTCTTCGTGCAGCACGCAGCGGTGTTGTCGTGTCAGAAATTGAACGATCTTTATTGTCGTTTGCAGAATCGAAATATAGGAATCTTTGTGCCGCTTGCGAGAGACCGGCGAGTTGTTACAACACCGACAGGTACTACGGACGAGAGGGTGCCCTGTTGTGTCTCACCGATGGCATGGGTGACGTAGCTTGGGTCAGATTGGGCGACGCCCGCGTACATTTCGAGGTAAATTAAAAAGACAACTCGATACTTTTTGACCTAACTCTTTAGAGCGAACAACTTGGCGAATAATTGATTTCTCGTTCTATCGATTAATCTAAAAGATTATAATTAAAATGGAATCGCGATATTAACATCTGTCGTTGCTTGACGCAGACCCAGACCATGATCGACGCACAAGATTACAAATTTCTATGCTCGGATGGCACCACGAGGCCGCTCAATTTCAAGGAACCCTGCGTTTGGATATCAAAACCGTGGCCCGTCATCGTAGCTAAACCGTAAGCGTTTTTTTAGATCGTCCCTGTGCGAAGTTACTTTGTTTTTGACATTGAATCGTGAAAGAATTGAAAAAGTCTTCTTTCTCGCTAGAACGATCGCCGAGAATATCGCCAGGACGATGAACTCGATGATGAACAGAACGTCCAGCTGGGAGTCGAGTGTCCTGCAGCTGATGGAGAACTATTACATCAGTTCGACTAACGTGCAAGATTTGCAAACACCCGATGACTACTTACATCGATGTAATGTATATACAGCACGAATGTTATCTTTAATTCTTCTTACAATGATGCATTGTAACGAGTGATCTGCTAAAAATCCGTAACTCGATACAGATAATCTTCTGAAAAAATATTAGAAGGGAGGGTGCGATATTTTGTTGTTTTAACTCGGGGGTATTTTGTTTTTTGTTTTTTAAAGATCCAAACTTCCTGAGTGCTAACGTTCGAACGGGTTGTCAGCCATCAAGAGATGTACATTGGTGTCTGGTGTCCAGTCTCGAGAAACGTAAATGCAGTTGGTTAAGAGATGCTTCCATCGTTTATGGCGTGGAGCCATTGATCTCTTGCCTTCAGAAGGATAGCAGAGAGGCGTGCTTGGAGGCTGTACGAAACGGAGAGATGGACATCTTCTTGGCGCGGCCCGAAGAGCTTCTCGATGCCAGAATGTGAGCCATAGATAAAAGAGCGATAGATAAAAAAAGCAATTAAATATTAAAAAAAAAAATTGTTCGACAATTGTTTAAATCATTTCGCAGAAAAGGTTTGAAGCCTATCATCCACGCGATGGCAAACACGCGGCAAGGATTGAATAGAATCGCGGCGGTTGTCAAGAGGAATTCCAGGTTTAGGGTTCTGAAGGATCTCAAAGGTGCCAAGGCTGCCTTCACGGGCTACAGAAGCGTCGGTGCGATTACATAAATGGGATATAATTTCATGATTTCGTGATTTCAGTTATCCCGAATTGCTTTTAATCGATTTCACCATTGGTCCAGGCTGGAACGCTTTCGTAACGTTAATGAGGAACGACTCGGGCGAAAATTGGGATTGCTCAGATGCGCAAGCCGTTTCGAAGTTCTTCAAAGATAGCTGCGTCCTCGATTGGAACAACAAAGATAATGACAACAAGCTCCCAACCAATTTATACTCGTTATGTAAGAAAGGTAAGACGAGGCAGTACAGTCACAATTAAGTATATACGGGCATTCATAAATGACTCGTAATTATAAAGATATCAACGCATACAGTACAAACGTAAAACATATAGAAGATTATGTAAATTTTCATGATTCGCTGAAAACAACAAACAAAGGAGATATAAATCGAGATAGAATTGTGCAGAAAAACTAATCAAAATGGCGATTCCTTTTGCAGATGCAAAAGAAACGGTGGATGATCTAACTGCCTTTAGTTATCTAACTTCCGATATCGTCGACGTTGCCTTCGTCAATCTGAAAGTCATAGAAAACAAGACAGAAGCTGGTAAGCTTTATCAATTTCAACTTAAAATATTCTCTGCACCATATTTCTATTGCATATAATGAGTTTTAATGTTGCAGGTGACTTTTATTACGAAAGGATCGATCATAAAAATATAAATCGTATGCCCAGATACAGAGTATTAGGCCCAACCTTGGCGGAAGCTATAAAAAGAGTTCCATATGTGATCGCTTGGACATCTCTCGGCTCGGTACAACTCTTTAACGCGATTTAATATTAACACTAAAATGTGTACGTGCGTTAATTCACGATTCATAATTGTTTGTAATACGAATTTTTTTTCTGCACTTGATAGATAATGGCGCATGAAAATATCACGGATCTAAGACGCCAGGAAATTTATTCGATGCTGCTCGAAATGGACAAGATATTCGGAAGAAAATTTAATGGACAGGCACCGACGTTCCTATTATACGGTTCTTATGAGGATAATCATGGTGTTATCTTTCCCGTAAGTTAAGAATACAGAACATTCACATGTAAAATATCTATATCGTAATATAGAGAAAAGGAGAATTAAATTTGAAAAGTACAGGTAAATTAGGATGCTTAAATTTTTTTTTTTTACTTAAAGATGATACAGGTTGAGCTCGTTGCAGCTCTGATTTGGACTAAGATCGATTCTTTGACATTTTGTCTAATCGCTATCCTCGCATATACACTCCGATGGCCGTTCGATGACATCGATTTCCTCCGAAAACATCTCGTTTTTTGCGCACCCGTAATACAAATAGCCCTTGTCGCAGTACGCCCATGGGAAATGCATGCACTTGAATGACACCAAGGGTGTTCCTTCAGCAGTCAACGCAATCGCGCCCACGTCGACACCTCCGGTTTCTTTCACGAAGTCGTTCAGCACCGCGCTGACCGCTTCATCAATCGACGTTGCCTTCGGCAATCGCCGTAAGATTCGCTGAGCTGGCGCGTGTTTATAGATTGCTTTGTCGCAACCCGAGACGGACACGGACCCGCCTTGATCAACGTAAATACCGCAACCGATTGCGGTACCGGTCGCGCTTATACTGCCGTGCAGCTTTCCCGAGTCTCCGGCTGTCGAGGTTCCACTGGCAAGACGCTTCTTCCGATCGTATGCCACTGCTCCAACTGCACCGAGCTAATGCAGAGTTCTTTTCAAATTCACAAGATAAAATTCCATGAGTTTATAAGTTTAGCATAGAGGGTAAGGCTAAAAAAATCCGTTAAAAATTTTTATATTAAAATTTCAGTTTCAAAAATTTTAGAAATTTGAAGAAGTTTTGAAAATTCTTGAATTTTGTTCAGCTTTTATCTGAATAAACAATTTGTTCATCAACCTGTATGGAATCTGGCTCGATTTCCAAAGATTGATCTAATCCGACGACTGTAACCTCGGAGATAGAACTTTCGTCCTCCTCATGTCTTTGGATCACGCATTCCGGTATGCATTCTTTCTTACCAGATCGTTTTTCTTCATTTTGGAGAAATTCTTGTGTTTTGCTCGTTTCTTTAAATTTAGTAATTATCAATAATACAATTATCTTTAAAATAGCTTTGTTTCTTTGTTCTTTACCATTATTCTTTTCTTCGTGCAACGACGTTTTTGAATCAGATGTGACGATCAATTGACCAGGTGATAAAGTAGAAATGCCCGATTCCAAAGCGAACTTTTGCGCTCCAGCTTCAACTATCAACACATGTTTTGTTTTCTGCAGAACCATCTTGGCTACATGAGTGTTAAACATTTATTAGATCCTTAGATGAATTCGATTTCTGCGGTGTGTTAAGCGTTAAGCTGAAGAAGCTACAAACCTAACGTTATAGGATGCGCTATATTACGAACAGCGCCCACACTACCTGCGCGAAAATCACTTGTCATTATCGCGGCGTCCATCACGACTTCTCCATTGGCATCCAAAGAACCCCCATAGGCACAATTGAAATATTTCTTTCTCTCCATATGACAAATTGCACGCTCAACTGCAGTTAACGAGGAGCGTCCTTTCATTAGATCTTCATATGCCGCCACCGCAGCTTTCTTCACCTGTGTCCATTTATTTAGCATCAATATTTTTATTATTAAATTGTATTTTCATCATTTTTACGAAAAGAATTTTTCTACTGATTTTCCCGTATGACGTGATCTTAAGTATCTAAAAAGTATTGCACAATATCTGAGTACTGGAGTAGACAATCATGTTTCTTACGCTCTGTAAAATTATTGAGTTGAATTGTTTAATATGAATAATACAAATATATAATTTAACCTCATCGAGCATGAACTTTCGCGCATATCGGGGAATTCTTCCAGCACCTCCGTGAACGATGATGATCGGATTCACCCGTGGTACTTTTTTCTTCTTCTTCTTTTTAATCTGTGTCTCAAGATTGGCTAAGATCTCGCTGATCCAAGAACAATAGTCGCATATTATGCCAGTACCACCTGTCATTGCATTTTCCAAAACTTTATCACTTCTTAACATTTTCTTAAATTTTTTTTCTATAAAAATCTTCCGAAGTGCTTCTGTCAAACAAGAGTCAAGTATAACATGATAAAATTTGTACGATTAGGATTATGCTAAAGTACACCTTTTTTATGAATGTGTCATTTGCGATGTTATTTTATTTTCAATAGTAAAATAAGCAACGGTAACATTATATGAAAATGTAAATTAGATCACGACTGCACTTGAATAAGTTAATTTAAGTGAATTTCGTTATCACAGGATGGCACACGTTACTTAGAGCTACATGGTCTCCAGACATTAAAGGGACGCAATTACGACCAGATTGTAGAACAGTTCGTGAAGAAAGAAATTTGCAGTTCCGCGAGTACATGGATCCCTCATTTTTCAGGAACTCTTCTCCTATACACGATTGTTGTCATTGGTCTAAACCGATTATTGAACTATTGACGATGGTTGGACGGAATATGCTTTCTATGAAAGTACAATGCCATATAATACAGGATGATTCGTTATTGATGATACAATAATTTTGTATAAAAGGGTAAGTTTTTTCTTTACACGCGGAGTCTTATTTTCGGAAAAATCAAGTTTAGGAATTATAGAATTGAGTTTGCATAAGTTTCAATAATATATATATATATGCCGTATATCGTGAAAACTATTCAACAATTATCACAAGTACACAAATTCTTATAAAAATTTAATATTATTTAAATTAATTTTGATATATACTTTAAATATAATTATAAATAATTTATACAAATAATTTTCTTTAAATATTTGTATAAAATATATTCACATCGTATATTTATATATATTTACATATATATATATATATTTATATATGTATATATATATATACACACATGTGTATATATGTATGACATACATACATAATGTACATATATACATATAATAAGCATATATATATTTACATATTGTTTATGTATATTACAATCTATTTAATATAATGTATTTCGTTCAATAATTCCGATAATTTTCTTTTATTTCTTTAAGCAAAACTTTTAATTGCTTCTGTTATAATCGCCATTTAAATTAAAAATGATTAAATTGAAAAATAATTTTAATAATATTCAAACTATGAATAAATAATACAATTTTTTAACTTTTTACTTTTTAAAATAAATATTTTCAAAAACAAATTATTATTGCTGAACAATTGCATCGAATAATTGATATTGTTCAATAATTGAAGAAGTTAAACAAGAAAGCTTCCTGTCAGTGGAAAAGATAATTTTTTTACATTTATTTTTCAAAATAAAATCATCATCTCAGTTGTATCATCAATAATGGATCATCCACATCAAAAAGCGCGATATCAAATCGGCTAGACTATGTATATAAAATTGTATGTATATTTCAATTGTACAATCTTATCATTCCCGCTTATTTCTTATTTATATGATATATTTTATACGATACTATATAAATGTATGTATAAATATGTTATAAATATTATTTTTATCTATAAATCTAAATATTTATTTTTTCCGGACGGATTGTGATATATATTTTATATAGAAATATATAAATATGTGCACGAAAATCTTATTCGCTATATAATGCACATTTTTGTAAAATATATAAAATGATAACATTTTAAACAGTTTCCTTGCAAATTGAAAAAAAGTTAATATTATTTGAAATTATATCAAAGATACTGCTATGTAATTGCTTCATAAATCTTATAATTATAATTTTTAAAAATGTATCTCTTGTCAATTAAGAATGAGTTTCAATTTGTATTTAAATATCACTTTTCCTTCGACTAATATCTTAATTACCTATATTGCAAGTGCATGTATATATTGGAAGTATAAAATTTGTGAATTTTTCTCTCTATCCAATTTCTTGAAGTAACAATTCTAAAACCTATTAGTGCCTATATGAATTCCTCTCTTCATTGAAAACACTCTTATTCTCATTCATATCGAGACGAATCGCGAAAATATGTCGAGTTCTTGCAAAAATTCCTCTTTCTTTGAATAATAGAAATCTTTTCTAAGTTTATGTATTTCCACATTTCCAGATTCCATGCCAAAAGCCTAAAAGGATATAATATGTTTCAAGATTTACAATATACAAAAATCTTTTATAATTTATTCTAAGAGATCATATTTAACTGCATTAAACTCACCAGATATTGATTCGTCATATCTTGATCTATTATGCAAGGGGACAATTGCATACTACTTATCTTTCCCCACTTTCCCATTGATATCGTATATATAGGACAAATATCACTCTTACTCAAATCCCACACATGAATTCTGTTAAATTTAAAGTTTTTATTTATTGCGCCATTTCATTTCCTCATTTGTTCATTTCACGAAATCTTACCGAGAATGATTGTCTAGAGTGTATATAGTTAGCGGTTTCGTTTTCGACCATTGCAAAGCTTTAATTGCATCTGTGTACTGTTCGTTTTTCAGTTGTACGATTGGTCTCTCCACATTTAAGTAATGAAGTCGAATCGTTCCCTTATTACAACCGACCTGATTAACGTAAAAATTAAATTAATAAGAATGAAAGAGAGAAATAAGAATTATAAATTGTAAAAAAATCTTACCCAGAAAAAGGATTGATCGAAAGGACAAACATCAATACAAGTTGAAGTACCGCATTCACCTGTAATATTTCATTGAAATAAATCTGACTTTATCACGATCTACGTTTGACACAACATGAAAATGCTACGTTGTTACTACTCACTTATCTCAACCGGTTTGTACATTAATGGATTAGTTCTGTTACCGATACAAGTAGCATGCAAGACATCGGTACTATTAGTTGCGATATAAATGTTATTTGTGTTCGCGCTATCCACATGCATATCGACAAACGTGTTCATTCTAAAACAGAATTAGTGAACAGTTAGGAAAACTTGCATACATATCAAAACCTCAAAAAGAAAATTCTCAGATTTATTTACATTTCCGCGTCTTTTTTCGACAGAAACGTTTTCTGATTCTTTACAAGTCTTATATCACCCCAGTGAGAGAGTCCCAAGTCGTCGATATTTATACCCATTTTATGCACGATACTCCATATTACAAGACAACCATCTTCATCTAAGCTACATATCTGTTAAGTTTGTTAAGCATGAAAATTAGTAAGACATTTTAACAGGAAAGTATCAATATCGTGAGTATCAATATCGTGATATAATGATAACCTGGATAGGGACAAATTTATTGCTTCTTTCTTTAACAGAAACAGTCTCAATCTTGGACAGCACGCGTATCGCGACAACTTGTGATGCATGCGCATCTAGCTCCGCCGTTGTCGTGTAAGTGGGCGTTCTAATCACCCAATCTAACTCATTAGCCTTATCCGTAATCCTCTGATGCCACATCTCGTCCTCTTTGAGATCCCAAAGACTCAACGACCTAGTTTTAATATTTCAACATTTTTAGATTAATTGGACGGAAATTGCGATGAATCTTAAAGATGACACAAATTGCGTACCCGTCCTCAAGTCCGGCGAACACTGTATTGCAATTTGTTAAATGAAAGCAACAAGCGGTAATGGAACATTGCGAGTAGAATAATTTTTTCGGCATTGAAGGTTCGGAAATATTCCAAACGCATCCAATGCAACAGTCGGTAATATAATCTTGTTTGCTCACGGTTTCTATCTCCTGTTAAGAAACAAATTAATCGTCGCATTTTGAACTACTATTAAATAGTATAATCACATACCTCTTCTACGGGAGCGTGTATAGTAAGTAAAACTTTATTTAAAACATTCGAATAATGAATGATTTTAATTGGTCTAGTAGCTAAGAACGCCACTGTTTCTACTGAGAGCTTCACGAAACCGTCGCTAAATGACAATTCATCCACGTCACTTTGGAAAACAGTGCCACCGTGTTCTTTCTCTTCTAACAATGACAGCATGACCGCACCCGCACGATTAAAAAAATCGTTCAATCGCAATACATCATACGATGGTCGTAATGAAAAACTCGTGTCGTCCAACTCGTCCAAGTCATTTCCGACGCCGAGTTGTTCCTGTGAATTTTTAAAAAGTTCTGTATGTCAATTATGCTTATATCCCTATTTTGCAAATGATAGCATAACTTATTACTATTTTAAACAGATTTATATCCCGTTTATCACGCAGTTCTTTTCTACAAGTTATGGGAAACTGCGTCCATTTGTTCTTGCAAGGCACCTCATCTGTTTGTATTTCGATGTCCATGTTGTCGTCACCGGTTTGGGTGAACACCTGTAGAATATGGTATACAGCAAACAATCAATCGTACTATAATTTCTCGCAATGTTACGTACCTGTTGCGTATTTAATTTTCCATAATTTCTTATGAATTCATCATAGGGTATGGGACTGCATTCTAATACCGACCATTCCATAAAATCTAGCTTTATCATTTCCAATAATTCTTCGCCCCTGCTGCGAGGCTTTCGCGAGTTCTGCGAAAGATGAAGCAATCGACATATTTTAAATAGATATTTAATATTATGAGGCATTTCTTTGTAGAAATGAATTACCTCTTCATGTCGGTTCTTTTTTGATTTACGAAAATCAATAAATGGTACTTGTGACAACGGCGGAGATCTAGTAAAGTCCCCAGAACGGCTATCCTCAAAGCCTTCATCGGCAGACGACTGTAAAGATTTATTTTCCGTCGGTCTGTCGTCACTGCTTCAAATAAACGAAAATGCGTTAAATTATCCAATGTATTTTTTTTTTTTTAAACAAATTGCTTTAAAGGAAAGCAGTGAAATGAAAGCTTATGAAGTAAATATAAACAATCATAAAATAACAAGAAATAAATACAAGTAATAATAAGTCGAGCAAATAATAAGGCGAGCAAAATTCATTTATTCGTTCTGATACTTGATCTTAGTTATCACAAACCTAAACGTTTTGCCAACTGGCTTTCTTAATTCGGGTAATGGCGGTATGTTGGATTGCGTTAAAAGCATCGATTCTACTCGCGCCGCCCGTTTCCTCGCTTCTGCGAGATCGTAGTGTCCCGAGTCGAGCATACGCTCCTCCTCAATCTTTGCGTGTTCCGCGCTATTCGCAATACTCTTCTGCAAGGAAGATTGTTCACATAAAATTGTGTGTCACAACAGAATCAAAATTGTAATACCTTCTCTTTGGCGTCTAATTCGATGGGCTCTAAGTGGGAGCTGCTTCCACTGCTGTGCTCTGATTTTTCACTAATATCGCTATCGGTGCATTCTTGAAAATCTGACTCATAATCCTGAAAGACAAAAAAGCAGCAATATAAAGATTTATTTTCATTTAAATTCTCCCTCTTTTTTCAAAATTTTACCTCAAAATCATCCTCGTAATCGCAATCTGCTTCATCTACATCAGTTTGTGCGTCAACATGACTTTCTGTTGAATCTTTCTTCTGCTCTGTTTTTTCCACGACCTCAGGTCTCTTTACAGCGCTATGCAACATCTTTACCTCGCTAGGACTCAGCGTTCTGGATTTTTTACGTTCTTTAGACGAAATTCGCGGCTTAGTTCGATCAGGGGCAGAGGAATTTTGCAATTTCTCCTTATCTCTCGATACCCGTGACACAGTCTTCTCATTAGATTTATTAAGCTTGCTTGTAGTCGATTTTGGCATATATATCGTACTCTGACCTCTTTTTTCTGAATATCCTACTTGTTCTCTGGATTTTCGTTTTTAACTGTACTGTCATCACTTGATTTAATAGTATTTTCTGATCTTGTTTTGGTTGTACTCTTTTTCGTTAATGAATGACTAGAAGCATTGAGTGGACTAGATTTTGATGTCGATAAGGATGTTTGCTTGACAGTTTTAACTTGAGAAGATCCAACAGACGGCTTGCTAGTATTTCTAATCAATTGTGTCCTCGTTAAAGAATTCTGTGGCAATCTTGACAATCTGTCTCCATCTCCTCTATGTTCGGAGGTTTGAGATTTCCTTGGAAGATTAGAATCTGATTTCTTCGATGTTTCTGCATTGCCTTCATTGCTCGATGAGATTTTCGGTTTTGACCGTACACGTGTTTTGACTTCATCCTTAAGCCCAGTTTTTTTAGTTGCCCCCTAAAAAGAAAGAAATTATATTGAATCTAAAAAATATATATACTTAACAAGAATCAAAATTAAATAAGTTAATAATGATAATTTAATCATTATAAATATTTAATATTTAACTAAAATATTCAACGTCAATAACTAATAATGACAACTTAATAAAAGAAAATAATAAAATAAAAAAATAAAGTATAATTGATTCAAACTATTTTAAATGCGGAAATTTTTATTTTAGACATTATTATGTATTCTCATGTTACTTCCGTATTCCGAAATCGCGAAGAAATTGCTGTACAAGTAATATTACAATTTCTAAGCGTTAGCTACGCCATCGAAGCTCATGAATAAAATATCGCGAAACTGAGTCATGCCTTCTGCAATTAATAAAGAATACGCGTAACGAGATTCCTTTCCCGGCGATAAATTACACGGGAATCAATATTCTCTTTCTCTCGTGCATTCCGATGACGTTCTTTACGTGAAAAATATCAATAATTCCGAGGTTGACATAAGTGAAGCCTTGACCGTGCAAAATGTCAAATTCACGCGTTGATTAATAGGAGCAAGATAATAAAATAAAATTTGCAGGTTCACGATTTCCACGATTTTCGAAAATGTAATACGCAACGCGGTGATTGGGCTGATATATTTTTCGAGACACTCACTTTATTGGACATTATGCTACTAATTGATCGGCGTTGACAGCTACGAACGGTCATAAGGCAACCATGATGTAAACTGTAAGGCAACGCATCGCCTCTAGAGAATTTTTTTCGCAATCGCAAGCTGAATTCGCCTATTACCGACGAACGATTACGAAAGATCGATTTCTATTTTATCGATAGATTTTTTTTGTTCTGTACGCGCGATTACAGATTTCTCATATACCGATCATGATATACAGAGAAAAATGACGACGACACAGAATTATATCTATTTATTTCCTTTTCGATTTTTCACACCTTCATTTTTTTCTTCTTTCTCATCGTATTCGTATGCGCGTTGTTGATACAGATATAGAAAATGAATGTAGAACTGAAATAGAACAAAATACTGCTCCTACTGTCAACCTAAATTTTGGTTCTTCCTTTTACAGTTTTTATGAATAGGCTTGAATGTTTAATTGACGCAACAATCGCGCATCTTATCCCTTCGTCATGACCAGAAATCGGAGACCTCGTCATCCTAAAAGCGTGTGCCGACATTGTGCTGCGTTCAATCATGAATACAGGTCAAGTTACTACACGCCCATCTTCTTGACACGAAATCATTAGATGGATCAAAAAGTTTATCCTTTCATTTCTTTTCTACAAAATCTTCGTCGCACTAAACGCGACGGCGATTATGCCATGGTATTAAATAGCTGTGAAGTAAAATGAAGTAAAAATGTACAGAATATCCATAGAAACAGTTTAGTAATTATTATAGACGCTTATTGTAAAACTTGCATTGTTTTCCAATTAGGTCAACCACGGCCACGCGACACGGCCACGAAGATTATTTCCCCCGGCAGGATGTCAAAAGACCGACAGTGCACGATTTGGTGTACGAATATTTGGGCAAATGCGCCAATCAAAACGTGAAGTGGATGCAACAGAAATGCGCGTGTAACAAATTCAACAGGCAATACGCGAGGAGGAGAGACATTCGCGGACGTGACGTAGCGACAACTCGTCCGAGTCTCGATGAAGATATCGCCGAGGGATCACGCGCAGGCAGAAATGTGCTTTTGAAGAGAGCATCCAGAAGCTCGTCACGAGTATACATCGCCGATTACACGAAAGCTGTTCGCGATGGTACACAAATCATCTAAATACAAAGCGATAATCAGATATCAAAAAAATAAAATTCATAAAGTGAAGTTAAATTTTTCGAAATATTCGGGAAAAAGAAAAAAAAAAAGAATGTATTTGTGAAATGAAGAAGATCGTTGTCACGATTTTGATTTTTTTTTTTTTTTTTATTCAGGTCGAAGACGCGCAAAGCTCTACGTGCGAGATGCGCTTTTATACGGCATGCAATCCGGATTATTAATTCCGATCAATCGACGGAAGAATTTATTACGTGTTTCGCAAGAGCTGGAAATGTTCTCGTCAAGAAACGATAGACGAAAAGAAGACGATGAAGACCGATCAAATATCGCGACCAGCGATACTGAATACTCCGTCCGGACTTGATTGTAATAAATTCCATCACCGAAAATATGAAGCAACATAATTTATAATATTTACAGCAATGTTAATTTCTAATTCTACAATTATTTATTAAATATAAATAAGTGAATAATAAAAATAAAAATAATAAAATTGGCAATGGGAAGATATTATGTTTTTATTTCCATTCAATTTCGATTCAAAATTTAACACGCGTACATTTCATTTAATTTGTAAACGGTGATGATTTATTGTCAAACCGACATAAAACAAGCAAAGAAATTGGTATGAAAGATTCTTGATCCATATTGAAATTTTTTCTCAATCTCTTAAAATTATGTTTTACGTAGTTCTGAATTTTTCTAATTTGCATTATCGCCCTCTTCGCCCTCGTCGTTCGCACTCTTGACGACAACGACGTATCCATCTTTTTAGCTCTCGTTCGCGTGCCGCAGTTTTGCGAGAATGTCTTAATTCTCTATACGCGCTATCCTCCGTGCCTTCATCCTCTTCATCCTTCTCTTCTTCCTCTTTTTCGTCTTCTTCATCTTTCACCCTCTCTTCTTCGTCTTCTTCATTCCTTTGATCTTCCTCCCCATCAACGCGACGACGTCCATTCCTGATGACCCGAACGCGATCGGTAGGTCGTATTCTCGGATGCTCTTCCTGAATCACATCGCAAGTGCAGTGAACATCCCCTTCCGTCTCATCGTCGTTCTCATCCGCGCGTTGCGGCTCTCTTCGGTCCTCCACTCGTGCTTTCTTCGCATTTCTGGCCAGCACCGGCAGAGGCTTTCTCAAGAACCCTCTGGAAGGCCCGGGAATTGCTTCCGCGGTCATTGGTACTTCTTGGATATCAAACTTCCTTTTGCGTCGATCTGCGTTACCATTTTCTTCGTCTGGTTGAATACTGGTCGAATGAAAAATCGGTTCCGCTGTCAAATCCTCAGGACCATCGATATCATTTCTCTGATCATTAACTCTTCTTCGTCTTCTTGATGCATCATCTGCAACACGACCTCTGCAATTCGGGGAACAGCCGTTTCGCTTCGAGCTAACAATGGGACCAATCAAGTGGTATTCGTTGCTCAGTAATTCCATGACGAATCTGTCAGAAAATTATCGAAGAATAATTGTTGTTAACTTGTTGCAGAGAGTGGAAAGTTTTTTTTAATAGAAGACTAGATAAGAAGAAAGAAACTCCAAGATACGACAAAGAACGCATCAATGAGTGAATGAATTATACTTAAAATTAAGAAAGCGCGTTATTGATTAGGATTCCAAGGAAAAGGAGAGACAAAAAGACTACTTGTTTAGTTTAACAATAAAATTGTTAAAGCGGTGTAACTCTTGCATTATTCTATGCTGTAGATTCGCGGATGCAAGTGAAGTCTATCGGTTTTCTATCACGATTCTAAGATCATATCTCTCGAGTATTAGTTTGAAACAATTTTGTATGTTATATCGCATGGTACGAGCTTGCTGTACGTAATTAGCACCGAAATATCGGTCGATAGATGCATAGCCTGGAAACAAGATAAGTCGCGCAATAGTGGAGCGGTTGCCTTGAACGAAGCGCGATCGTGGCTTCATATAGAAAGAAGGGAAAGAAAAAGAAAAGGAGGAGAAGAGATATCGCTGTTTATTAAGCGCTTTAGGGTAGCAATCTCTCCAACGCTAAAATATTCTGTACGTTACTTCTAAAAAACAGTTAATAAAGGTTTTATTGAAGTATCTAAAAATTTAGCCAGCTACAAAGAGATCTGAAAATGATTATATTGGACCATAATACTGCAATAATAATAATAATAATAATAATAATAATAATAATAATAATAATAATAATACTGTAAAAGTTTTTTTATACTCCATTAACTTGAGCAACTCCTGCATAATTATTTCAATGGCACAACAAAAATAATTTTCAGATTTCTACCTAATCAAATTTTTCAGCAAAAATATTTTTTGTAATAACAATATATACGTCATGTATACGTCCTAATTCGATATAA